AGGCCGAGACGGGCGGATCACGAGGTCAGGAGATCGAGACCATCCTGGCTAACACGGTGAAACCCTGTCTCTACTAAAAATACAAAAAATTAGCCGGGTGAGGTGGCGGCGTCTGTAGTCCCAGCTACTCGGGAGGCTGAGGCAGGAGAATGGCGGGAACCCGGGAGGCGGAGCTTGCAGTGAGCTGACAACGCGCCGCTCACTCCAGCCTGGGTGACAGAGCGAGACTCCGTCTCAAAAAAAAAAAAAAAAAAAAAAAAAAAAAAAAAAACAGACTCTTTCTCTGTAGCCCAGCCTAGATCAAGCAGTAGCTTGATCATAGCTCACTTCAGCCCCAGACCCCTGGGCTGAAGCAATTCCTCCTACCTCAGCCTCCCTAGTAGCTAGGACTACAGGTGCATGCCACCATGTCTGGCTAATTAGAAAAAAATTTTTTTTGTAGGATCTCCTAATTTGTTTTTTCATAGAGACAGGGTCTTGCTATGTTGTCCAGGGTGGTCGTAAACTAGCCACAGGTGATCCTCCCACCTTGGCCCCACAAAACTTTAGAATTATAGGCATGAGCCACTATGCCCAGCCCTGTAAAAAAGGATTTTTAAAAGCTGCCCAGATGATTCTACTGTGCGCCCAGGTTGAGAATCACTGCTCTCAATTGTCCCTGATCTTTAAATTCCCATGTACAGTTCTGTAAGTTACACTGACTGACAGCAGATTCAGACACATTTCAATGGGTTTAATTTGTTGATTGTCTATGATGGGCTGAGGTCTCACTGGATGGCTTGATTGAATGTCCTCTGGAGGCTTAAAAAAATGAAATATAGCTTAAGAGAATATTGGAGCATATAAGACTAAAGTTTATGTCAAAAGCATCCTATTGAGGTTAAGCAATACATATTCACTTTTGGTTAAATGATAGCAGCTCACTATTTGGTAAATTCCTAGTTCAGAGCCTTGAATAATCTAAGACAGGTTTCTAGAAACAAGATTTTCTTACCTTCTTTAGTGCTTCAGTATTCAGCAAAGATAGAATTTTTTGTCAATATATTGCCATAAATTCTTATTAATTCAGATCCTATGAACCTAGAATTTCTGATGTTCTGAACGGAATGTCAGCAAAGGTCTGTAATAGTTTTTAAGTGGTTAGTAACCAAATCAATAGTATAATTTAGATTGTTGACTACTCCACTCAAGAGTACTCCCAAAACATTTATAATGGTAAATTGTGCACATTATCATTAAAGCAAGAATTCATTGTGTATTCAGCAGAAATAATAAAATCACATTCCTAAATTTACAGAATATAATTCAGACCTGCCATTAATTCAGCTGGTGTCTCAGCTATCATAACTACTGAAGTTTAGCTGCAACTTCTGAATTGAATATTTTTGCATTGTATTAGCAATCAAATCTTTTCAAAATTAACTCAACTTCTATATTTATTTTCTAAAATAATTGAGGTTTAGGCTTTTTATACATGCATTCAGACAAAAAGGATTGAAAGAATCATTTTAGGGTATTTCCAAGACAATAGTCTATAATAAATTTGTATTGTCTCCAAGATCCAACTATGTTTAGGAGAAGCAATTATCAAATCTATTTTAGTTTTTGCTGAGAGTCAGGGTAGGGGACAAAAAGAAAGCTATTACAATTGATAATTGTTATAACTTGAAGGATTTTTTTAATCAGATGGGGTAAGTATGTTGCTTGAAATTTTCGCTGCTGTCTTGTTAGGCTAATATCTGATATCCTTTTCAGAATAAATACAAGGAGAAATTTGAGAAAACAAAAGGACGGCCATACGCCAGTACAACAGATACCCCAGAACTTCGCAGAATCAAAAAAGTACAAGATCAACTCAGTGAGGTGGGCTGTATTGCTGAAATAAAGGACAGGGACATTTCAAAATAAACCTACTGCTGGGAATTGTGGGCTCTAAATATGTGCTGTGAGAATGAGGAGTTGAATTACCATGAGTTAGTTCACAAATCTAGAAAAGCATGAACCATAGATCATGTTGCTGTAAATGTGAACCCAAAGAAACTTCTAAAAGCTTGGTTTAGCAACTTAGCTTAACAGGAGACTATGAGATGGAAGCTCCAACTCACTGTGGTTCTCTATACTGTAGCACAGTAAGGCCAAGAAGCAGCAGGCTGGAGATCCAGCCAGGAAAGCAGACAATCTGTAAGTGCAGGTGCTCCTTTGAAGATCACAGTTTTCCAGCTAAAATGCAGAAACTATGCTTTGTGATGCAGACCTAGAGTCACTGGGGTAATGCTTTGTGGTTATAAGAAATTCCTTAATATACTCACATGTTCATGACTGTCGTGAACTCTGACTGTGCATTATTTGAGCAGGTTAAGTATCGAATAGATGGTGATGTTGCTAAGACTATCTGTCACGTAGACGAAAAAGCAAAGGATATTGAACATGCAAAGAAAGTGTCGCAGCAAGTCAGTAAGGTAAGCCAATGATATGGATGGCTGGGGTACTCAGTAGCATGTGCATCACCTCTGCATTGTCTTAGAGGAGAAAATTGAACAGGCCTGATCCTGCTCACCAGCCTCATGGGCAGTGTGAATTCAATACCTGTATTCATCAAGAAGGCTGCACAGATGAGTGGCCTGTAGAACCTATGGGTGGATGGAAGAGTCCCCCTGCCCAAAGAGGCAGCTGTTTCTCGGCTCCAGGCTGTTGCTGCATGGAGTCCCAGTGTCACCAAAGAAGCTGAGGAGCTAAATTTTTAATTGAAAGGGATTAGCATTTTCAATCAAAAGCTGACTATTGTAGGAAAAGTAGTATAGGACGTTGGCATGGTCAATGTTTTCCTAGTAACACGATGGCAGCCTTTGAGCAAGGACGCCTTCAGGAGTCTCCCTTTGTTGTTTAAATCCTCATGCCTTTGGATGAGATCTCAAGCCACAGGTCTTCTGCTCCTTCTGTCTAGGTTTTATACAAGCAGAACTGGGAAGACACCAAGGATAAATACCTGCTTCCTCCTGATGCCCCTGAACTTGTCCAGGCCGTTAAGAACACCGCCATGTTCAGCAAGGTAAGGGCCTGCTCCATCCCCACTTCTATCTTCCTGTGTCATCCCATCATATACTTCATGTAATACTTGGTGAACTCTTGATCATCTGGAATACAATTTCCCAATCTTTTTATGAGTAGCCTTGAGACATATGAGACTGTAGGGGTAGGGCTTGGCAAAAAGGAACTGAGAGAAAAACTCCTAGGCAGAGTGGGGAGAAGGTCACTTGGGAACCTGAGCAACCTGGGGGCAGAGGGGAGTGTCTGTGGAAAATAAAGGTGCTGTGGAGAACCAGCTGAGAGAGCCATAAAGTAATATCTCAAAATTGCCTTTAGACCCTGTGCTATACTTTAGATGTCTCTGGCTATTAACTCTAATTAGAGGTTTATTTTGTGACCCAACTTGCAAGTGTCCTACATTGCCCTGAACTACGTGAAGTGCTTCCTGGCTCCTTACATTGTGTTAGCACTTGTAAGTGCTATTGATAAACAATGACAAATAATATCAAAAACAACAACAACAACAACAACAACAAGACAGGTCGAGTCACAGAGAAGAGATGAAACAAAATCAGACACATCTGCCCCCCTGAAAATAAGAAAAAACAGGGCATGCTATCCGTAAAAATGACTTGGGTTGGATGGAAAGGGGGAAGTTATCTGTGAATTTCATTTACCTTTGCTCTCACCTCGCCCTTGGTTCTTTAGGTCATTGATGGATGAATTCAAAACTGCATTTTGTGTAAATGTGACCCTACTTCCTCCTAACTTTTCTTTTTTTTTTTTTTGATTTAGAAACTGTACACTGAAGACTGGGAAGCAGACAAAACTTTGTTTTACCCCTACAATGACAGCCCAGAACTGAGGAGAGTTGCCCAGGCCCAGAAAGCTCTCAGTGATGTAAGTGAAATGCAAGTGGCACCATTTAGGTGTGCAGAGTCAGGGGAACTTGAATTACATCTTCTGGCCAGATGTTCACTGCAACTCTTCTTTATAAGAGGCTAAATGCTGTATTTCAGGGGAGTACATCTAGAATTATTATAATTTACAATGTCTCATTTAGATTAGATATAATTTATACTTTATATTATTTAATCTAGTCCAATTTCCTCTTCTTATAGGTGGCAGACCTGAATCTGGGGTCACATTAGTTAGTGGCAGAGTCTAGGCTTGTGAGCTCAAGACCAGTATTCTTCCCACTGGAGCATGAGTTCTTCTTTCCCCTTGGCTCTGGTTGAAGTTGTTCCATGACAACAGAGTGGCAATTTTTAAAAACCTATTGTAATCATAGCCACCTTCCCAAATCTATTAAGTAAGCAATGTTATGGAAGGGTTGTGCCTTGCTATCCTAATCATCAAGTCCAAATTGTGGTATGTCTCCCTTTTTCTGTGTGTGGGACCTGACTAGTGTACTTCTTAAAACATATTTGTGGCTGTGTGTGGTGACTCACCCCTGTAATCCCAGCAGTTTGGGAGGTCAAGCAGGGAGGATTGCTTGAAGCCAGGAGTCTGAGATCAGCCTGGGCAGCAAAGCAAGACCCCATCTCTACAAAATATATATTTTAAAAATTAGCCAATTGTAGGGGTGTATGCCTGCAGTCTCAGCTACTCAGGAGGCTGAGGTAGGAGGATCACTTGAACCCAGGAGGTCGAGGCTGCAAGTGAGCTATGATCAAGCCACTGCACTCCAGCCTGGGCAACAGTGAGACCCCCGTCTTAAAAACAAACAAACAATGACAACACTAACAACACCCAAACAAACCACAAACACATTTGTATAGTTATCCCACAAAGAGCTCTTGCTATCAGAAGATACTTCAGTTAGTGAAAAATCAGTGATCCCACTTGCCAGAATTTTCGTATCCTAGACCTTGAAAACCGTATGTTAGAGGAACTTAAAAGGCTTACTAGAGTCCTTAGGCTTGAAACCAGCAGCAGCAGCAGCAGCAGCAGAGAGACCCACTTGGGCCTAGCACTCTCCCTTATTTTGAGGTACTTTCTTACATGACCATTGGATTTGCGGGGAGGCCACGTTGAAAATCCAGACCGCAACTCCAGTCTTCAGCAGAGCACTGCATTATAAAGTGACAAGTTATTTTACATTCAATTGTCAGTTAGATCCCTGGAACCTCTTTATTTATTTATTTATTTATTTTGAGACGGAGTCTCACTCTGTCTCCCAGGCTGGAGTGCAGTGGTGCGATCTCAGCTCACTGCAAGCTCCGCCTCCCGGGTTCACGCCATTCTCCTGCCTCAGCCTCCTGAGTAGCTGGGACTACAGGTGCCCGCCACCACGCCCAGCTAATTTTTTTGTATTTTTAGTAGAGACAGGGTTTCACTGTGTTAGCCAGGATGGTCTCGATCTCCTGACCTCGTGATCCGCCCGCCTTGGCCTCCCAAAGTCCTGGGATTACAGGCGTGAGCCCCAACGCCCGGCCTCCCTGGAACCTCTTATACTCAATTTGGACTTAGTAAACTGATTGGGATTTACTTCTAATGGAATCTAGGGTCTAATCTTGCCATGAACCAAAATTATACATACCAATTTGATGGTGTCTCTGATTTTTGAGGTCTAATTTTTAATGCCACCCTCTTAATATCACCTGCAAGTTTAGTGGACATCTTTTCTATTTCACTTTCCATGTAATTGGCTAAAATATAATACAGATACACTCCTATCCTTTCATTGGTAAGTTAGGAAATAGAGAAGGTATAACAAAACTTTGAAGTCATCTAGCACATGGTACCAATTTTAATGTGTGAGTACTTCTTGCTTCTCTTTCAAGATTAGCTTTTTGATTCTGTATCTCACAGATTCACAATATTGTTGCATGGCTGTTATCAAGTGATCAACAGTAATTTATTGAAAGTCTATTATGCATGCACACCTGGCAGGATAGAAAAGTACTACAAGCAGTTTTCATCCTTTCCTCTGAGAATTTATAATCAGGTTGATAAAATAAAAGTATGATATATCAAGCAAGAAAAAAGTTAAAAATGGAACAACAGTCTAATACTTGCTACAAGACAGACAGAACACGTGTAAGTAATCAGAGAAGGCCATGTGGAGGTGGTGGTCCCGAGGGCCTGGGTGGTGATGAAGAAGAAAGGCATTTCGAGTAGAGGGAGCACTCGAACAAAGGGACACAGGTAAAATGTGGTCTGAGTTTTAAGGGACAAGGAAAGTGAATGACGTGAGTGCCTCATTTGGAGGGCACTTGTGAGAATGCTGGCAGCAGGACCTTGAAAGGCAGACAAAATTGCTTCGACATGGAATGGTAAGAAATAAGAGGCAGCATAAGATTTTGGAGCAGAAAATAGCATGATAAAAATAGAATCTGGAGTAATTTTGATGAACAATATGATAGATTGAGATTAGGAAATACAGGAAAAACTGAGTAATTTGGAGAAATCTATTTTAGTAATAATTAGGGCAAAGGAGAGGAAGAAAGGAATCTGAGGGTAATAAGTATTAATAAGCATACATGGCATTGGATATTGGAGCCAAAGGACAGAAAGAAGCCCTAGAGGAGCTTCTGACTGTGGACTGGTGGTCTGGGTGAGTAGGGCAACAGCTGATAAAGATGCATTAATGGAAAGAGAAATGGAGTTGAGATGATTGAAGGACACTTCAGATCAAGGCATGCTATGGATAAATTAGAAAGTACCATTGCTCAGGTGTGAGACCAGGGCAAGAAATTAATATTTGAGAGTCATGAGAACAAAGTGATAGCCAAAGACATGAACATCTATGAAGAAAGCAGAAGAGTGCATGGCCAAGGGCAGAGTTTTGGAGGACACCCACACTTGGGACTGAACAGGAGCCAGCAAAAGGATGAGGGAACAAACAGCGAAGTTGAAGAGGAACCAGGAAATGCCATGTCATGTAAGCCTGGGAGAGGTTTCCAAGAAGACACTTAATCTCCTATCTCGCTTCATCTATCAAATGGAGAGATGAAAGGTTACCTTCATACCATTCTAATGCTATGGACTTCGAACAATGAAAGTTGGCCACATGTTTTGAGCAATTACAGTAGAAGATGTAATGAAAGAGAACATGCAATAATGAAGTAAAGTCTTCCATGCTATTCCTCAAAAAGATGTGGCAGTTAAGGCATAGCTTTTATTTTTATTGCAGACCAAGTATGCACTCAGTATCAGATTACTGACACGCCTATTAATACTGTTGTCAGCACTGTGAACTTCTACAATTATTGGGCACAGAGCCATAAGCAAACTGTTGTTTGCAGAATGTACCACTGGGTAGGCGCATAGATTTCTGGCTAAGGGCTTGGGTTTAGAGGCTGTTGCTACCTCTCCTGTACCTTCTTCCTGTGTCCTTCTTAATCTACTTATCATGTTTTACTTATTACCTAAGTAGAGACAAAGTACTTTGCATACGCTAAGAGTCTTTAAGCTGATGCACAATACTGAACTCTTTTTTTTTTTTTTACTTTTTTAAAAAATCAGATCATTCTCTGTAACAGCAGAATTCTAACTAAACAGAATTCTGAAGAAGGTTCCTAAGAAATTAGGACTTCTAGATCTGATTTGTCTGAAACTTCTTGGCAGGATGTTCTACTTAATAAGCATTTCTCCTGTTCAAGTGTTGCTTTTTTCCTAAGGACTTAACTAACCATGAAAAATTCTGTGGTCCTATGCCTAAAATAGTCTTCAGTCTGTGTTTTTGTGTGGTTTGGTTTTTTGTTTTGTTTTGTTTTGTTTTTGTTTTGAGACAGGGTCTCACTCTGTCACCCAGGGTGAAGTGCAGTGATGCAATCTTGGTTTATTATAACCTCCGCCTCCCAGGCTCAAGCGATCCTCTCGCTTCAGCCTCCCAAGTAGCTGGGACTACAGGTGTGCACCACCACACCCAGCTAATTTTTGTATTTTTGGCAGGTACAGGGTTTCACCATATTGCTCTGGCTGGTCTTGAACCTTTGAGCAATTCATCCGCTTTTGCCTCCCAAAGTGCTGGGATTACAGGCGTGAGTCACCGTTCCTTGTTTAACTTATTTAAAGGAAATTAAGCCAGGCTTATTTGTGGAATTTGTGTAAATACATTTCAAAATCTGTCTTTTGTATCCCAATTGATCTGCTGTCCATGAAAGCTTTTGTTATAGGCCCTCGGTAGATATTATTGGGATAACATATAGTTAGACTTGGTTAAAGTATAAAGATGATTGGGACCTTGGGATTATTCAACTGCCTTACTTGATAAATAAGAATACTGCCATGAGGAAGGGAAAATAATCATAGAAATCTCACAGTTGCATCATGGAAGATTAGAAAGATAATTCTCCTCTTGAGACATTCCCCCATGGCCTCAGTGTGTAAGACACACATTGAGATGTCAATCATTGACTCTTGCTCTAGCTAGGTACTATGCAGGCCACGAGGGTTCCCAAAGATAGGACATCTTTTTTGCCATCCCAGAGCTCACAGTCAAGAGGAAAGAGACATGTAGACAACAAATTACAGTGTCATATGTATGACCCCTTTAAAGGAGGTAATGGCCAAGTTGAGTGAGATCCCAGGAGAAGGTCATCGCATCTGGCTCAGGAGTCAGAGAAAGCCTGGGAGGGGAGTCATGCTTGTCCTGAGCCATGGAGAGGAAACAGCGGTTTGCAGACAGACGGGGAGAGGGAACAGCATGTACAAGGCCCTGAAGCATCTGAGGACTTCATGTGTCTGGGGATCTATGAATAGTTCTGCATTTTTGGAAGCAGGGGCCGAGTCTGGTGGAAGAAAAAACCAGAGGAGTCAGTAATGAAGAAAGAAAGGATGGCAAGAGAGAAGGATATGCATGATTTGTGGGCACCATACTTATTTTAAGGTGATGGAAGTCTTTTATAGGCTGAAGGGAAGGAGCTAATGAAGAAGGAGAGGTTGGGGTTGTGAGAAAGAGGAGGGATGACAGAGAGCTGGGTGCAAAGGATGTGCTGGAAGGGGAAGCACCCTGGGTACAGGAGTCATTCCCGCTGAGGGATGTTTCTGCTCTGAGCCAGGGCAGGGCTTGGAGAGGCAGCGATGAATATGGAGAAGATAAGTGTGTAGCGTTTCTTTCCTCTATGAAAGAGGAAGCTGAGAGTAAGGTGGAGTTGATTGTGGGCTTAAGGACAGTGTTGGGGTTTTAGACTGGCTGCTGAGAGTAGGGACTAACCAGAGACACATAATGGGCTGTGCAAGTTTCCTTGAAGACAAAATGGCATTTGTATACCATAGGGTCATAGGGCACAGAGCCCCAAGCAAGCTGTTGTTCACAGAACATACCACTGGGCAGGCATGTCGATTTCAAGTTAAGTGCTAGGGTTCAGAGGCTCCCTACCTTGTACCTTCTTCCTGTGTCCCTCTTAACCCTACTCATCATGTTAGCATTGCCTAATCCATGGAGTTGTGGGTTTTCTTCTGTGGCATTCAGCATCCTAGGCATAAGAACAGAGGAAGTTGGCCAGGTGTGGTGGCTCACGCCTGTAATCCCAGCACTTTGGGAAGCCAAGGCAGGTGGAACATCAGGTCAGGAGATCGAGACCATCCTGGCTAGCACAGTGAAACTCTGTCTCTACTAAAAATATAAAAAATTAGCTGGGTGTAGTGGAGGGCACCTGTAGTCCCAGCTGCTCGGGAGGCTGAGGCAGGAGAATGGCATGAACCCGGGAGGCGGAGCTTGCAGTGAGCCAAGATCGAGCCACTGTACTCCAGCCTGGGTGACAGAGCGAGACTCCGTCTCAAAAAATAAAAGAACAGAGGAAGTATATGGTCGAGTCGATCCAAGGCTGGGGGCTTATTAAGTGAGTGTGATAAAAAGACAAGGGGTTGGGAGTTGAAGATGCTGGTTAAGAGAATAATTGCAATTGCAAACCAGAGCATGCAAATAACTGGAAGAAAGCAGATCTAGGGCCATGAGTCCTGAGGAGGAGGGAAGAAAATTCAATGAAATAGAAATCACTAGCAGTACTGAGAGCAAGGGTATATATAACATCTAGAAGGACAAATTATAACATGTTACACTAAAATTTAAGACTTCAAATAAAGATGAAAGCATAATCGTTTTTAAAATACATCCCTGTCCTTTATTTCATCAGGTTGCCTACAAAAAAGGTCTCGCTGAACAGCAAGCTCAATTCACGCCTCTGGCCGATCCTCCAGAAATAGAATTTGCCAAGAAAGTAACCAATCAAGTGAGCAAGGTAAGTAAATAGAGCTGGGACATTGCCTCCCTTGAAGACACTGCTTAATAATTTCAACCATCAGAGAGGGTTACTAAAGGTGAGCCTGAAGAGTAAACACAAACACTCAGAGTATTTTTACATATGACCCCCAAAACTCTACAGCAAAAGCAATACATCCATAAACATCAAGAACTGTGTTAATAAATGTTTACTCAGCTGGACGACTCAGCAATTGATAAATGTGAAAGTCACCTTTTGAAAACAGAAGCCATGTCCTAATGTCACTTGACATTTTCACTTATGACAGTAATACTACAGAGTCACCAAATAACCACACACTTCCGTGAAGAGCTGGTTTAAATTCACAGGGAAGACCTTGTATAGTTGGATCCTATCAGTCAGACTTGGCAAAATAAGAATGTGTCTCAGACATAGCTTAGTTAACAGCAGTGGGCAGTGGACCTCATAACTTTTAAGGCCCTAGCAAACAGCTTAGTCTCCCTATATTTAGGTGGTAAACTAGCTCTGAGGAATGTGGCTCTGATGAGGAATGCGGAGAGACAGATGCTCGGTGGATGAATAGGCCCATGCTAAATTCCTATTTTAAATTGGTCCAAATCAGGCCACTTTCTCCTGGGATACTGCTGCTTTTAAATACTTTATCTTGCCCTCTGTGGAGATGAGTGTTGGTTTGTTCTGCTTGAATTTTGACGAAACCTCAAGATTTTTGTCTTAAGCATTTTCTGGGTAAAGTATCTAATAGAGAAGGATGAAATGATATGGATGATGATGTCTATTCAGTGATGTGTGTTAGTGTTTGATATTGTAGATTACCTACCTATGTAACTGTGAGCTGTTTAGATAAAGAATCTAGTAAGTATAGTAAACTTTCACTAATAGGAATGCTACCATTCCTGAAATTTTGCCCAAGGCTAAGCAGAAATTAACTTTTGAATTGTACATAAATACATGGTCCACTGAAAGTGTTGATATTGGCTGGGCACGTTGGATCAAGCCTGTAATCCCAGCACTTTGGAAGGCCAAGGTGGGTTGATCACCTGTCAGGAATTCGAGACCAGTCTGGCCAACATGGTGAAACCCATCTCTACTAACGATACTAAAAATTAGCTGGGCGTGGTGGTGGGGGCCTGTAATTTCAGCTAATTGGGAGGCTGAGGCAGGAGAATCACTTGAACCTGGGAAGTGGAGATTGCAGTGAGCCGAGATTGCACCATTACAATCCAGCTTGGGCAACAAGTGTGAAACTGTCTCAAAAAGAGTAAAAAAGAAAAAAAAAGAAAGCGTTGATATTGTAAGTAAGATGGGGGAGGACAATTTATCTTTTTTGGAAAAAAAATAAAAATGTGTTTTCAAGTGGTCATTTAGAAAGGAAAGGAATCTATTTTCAAATTTTTATTTAAAGTCTATTTTAAAAGATACTTTACTAAGGAAACATTCTTTTGCATTATTTGAGTATGCAGTGGGGATTCTTAAAAGTAATTTTTGAAAATCACTTTCAAACACCTCTGTAATCATTCTTTCCACCAATTTAGGCTTGCCAGTTGGTTTAGTGCTGCGCTCTCCAGTACAGTAGCCACTAGCCAAATGTGACTAGGAAGCACCTGAATTTGATCAGCATAAACTGAGTATATAAGTCAGCTTGGGCTTCTACAACAAAATACCATACATTGAGTGGCTTAAACAATAGACATTTACTTTCTCACAGTTCTGGAGGCTGGGAGTCTAAGATCACGGACTCAGTCCCTGGTGAGAGACCCCTTCCTGGCTTGTAGATAGCTGCCCTCTCATTGTGTCCTCACACATTGGAGACAGAGAACCAGCTCTGATCTCTTCCTCTTCTTGCTCTTCTTATAAGGATGATAATCTCATTATGGGGTTCCCACCCTCATGACCTCACCTAAACTTAATTGCTTCCCAAAGCCCCTTACCTCCAAGTACCATCACATGGTACTTGTGAGTTAGGTCTTCAGCATATGAATTTGGGGGGCAGGGACACAGACATTCATCTCATAACACTTAGTGTCCAATATGTGAGAAATAGACACTGGATCTTGAATACTTAATTATGAAAAAAAGAATGTTTCAAATTAATATTTTTATGTTGATTACATGTTGGAATGTTAATTTTCAGATTTACTGGGTTCAGTAAACTATATTATTAAAATTATTTCCCACATGTTTCTTTCTACATTTAAAAATGTGGCTGTAAGAATGACTTGCATTATATATGCATTGGATGGCACCATTCTAGGTGAGCAACGTGACAATGTTGGGTACTTTGAAAGCATTGCCAAAACAGGCTTTGCCCTGTGGAGTACTAATATGAGCTAAGGGGAGGGTGGCTGTGGAAAAAGGTCACTGGATTTGGCCGTGGTGATGTTATTTATTCCCAGTCTTAACCCAGATTTCTGAGTTCTTAATGACTATTGTGCATCCAAAGTAATAGTTGTGTTGGGGAGAAATGCTTGTGATTGGTAGAAGTCCACCCAACCACAAACCATCCAACAAGGGAGGCACAGGGCTGCCAAGAGTGACTTACTCTAGTACTGTCTTCCCTCCTCACTCTCAAGATGCATTGGCCCATGTTGCAGCAGCAGCATATCCTCTTTCTCCCTAAAATAGGATAAAAATCTCCTTTATCTACCCTAGAACTTAAAGTATATAAAAAAATATTTTTTTGAAAAAACCTCCTTTATGTACTCACTCGCATGCATTTAAACTCAATATCCCCTTGTTGAATCGTGTCTCCCAGATCCATCTGTTGGTGCCAAGGGGCCCTCCTTGGCCCACTGAAGGTTGGCTGAAAAATCAGCTTGCAAAAGGCAGATTAACTGGAGAAACTGCATACAAATTTATTTAATGTGTACACACGGGAGCCTTCAGAATGAAGCCCCAGCTCCCCAGGGATGCAGAAGCTTATATACCATCTTGAGGCTACAGAAAGACTATGAGCTTGGATCCCGGCAAAACAGGTTATGGAGAGTGGGGAGAAGAGGAATTCTGTTGAAGGGCAAGAAATGATTACTAGGGAGAATTCGATGGGTTTGAAGAACATACAATAGTCTGGGGTGAAGTCTGTTGGCCCACAAAGCAAACAATGGTTTATGACAGGAGCCTGTCCAGGTTTGTTGACAGACTTGTCTTCCTTCCTGCACTATAGGTTCAGTTGAAAACTCAGGGAAGTGGTCAGAGGGAATTGTTTTCTTCTGTGGTAGGTCTGGACCTTAGATAGATAAGGAAATTTGAGCCTGTGCTTTGGGAGAGGTAGAGGATTGAGAGATAGGATGGGGGTGGGGGGGTTGACAGGGAAACAATTTTTCTTCTTAGTGGGTCTATCTGGTCTTTATGTAGAAAGAAGTCTCTTCTAGCTTCCATTAATCTCTAAGGGCCTTTAATTCAAAATACTCATTATACTAGGGAGCCATATTTTGGGGTGGAGTTCTCTGTGCATCCTCACATCCTTTTCTTACAGCTCCCAGTTCAGATGGGAATGATTGCATATCTGCAGTGATTTCACTAATGTTAAGTTCCATTTGCCATCCTTCCTTACTATACCTGTCAGAATCAATTCTCTCACCTTTGTCTTTGGCCAAAACCATCAGCTACATGCTTCCTTCTGTCTCTGCTGTATTTTGTAGCTCTAACATAGATGAACAGGCAGAGTTGTTCATAGAAATAGGCCTTCCAGGTGGGGAAACTATGCACACCATGACCAGCTGAAAGTGGGGACCTGAATGCAACACTGGGAAGTCCCTTTAGTTTCTCTGTACCTGCCTCTCTGCTCCCTTCCAGATCCACAAAAGAAAAAATATGAGATCTCAGGCTGGAATTTCCCACTGATACCAACTGGAGCCTCAATTTTTTTAAAAAATAATCTTTCAGTAACATAATGTTATACAGCATGAAGATACCAGGCCCTTGTCCTCTAAAACCATGGAGATTCTTCTATCACATAGAATTGGGAAGATTTCCATTGATTTCACCAGAAGAGATTTGATTGAGTCAAGCAGGCAGTGTTAGGCCCACTGTAGGCAATAAAAATACAAGCTGGGTTCTTTATACCCTTTCTTCAGGGATAACTTTTCTAAGAATGGAACCATCAGGAGCCCTAGTGCTTAGCTACTCACAGAAAAAGAGAAGGGTAATTAACTGGCTTCATATTCCTTTCCATTTGATAACCACATAAAAATTACAGGTTCAGATGTTGAAAGTACATAATGAAGCCATGTGTTTAAGCAAGACACCAGGGTACCCAGTTTATGGCCCCACGGAAGTCCCCTCAGCTGACCTCTGAGGAGAAGGGAAACAATCTTACTATATCTATGGACACGTGGTCACCCTCTTACCCAGAGAAGGTGTCCCAGAGCTTGTAATTGGCCTGATATACTTTCCTCTGTTAAACAAACCAAAAAAATTCTAGAGAAGTTAAACTGATTCTTTCTTCCAAGTTTCCATTGGTCAACCGCAAATACAACAGAGTTGGAGAGAAAGGTTAGGGGGAAACCTTTCTCTCCAAACTCTGTTGTGTTTGGATGTTGGGAAGGTTGAATGTTGGACCCTGACATGAGTAACCCGTCTCCATGTATTGTACAAAAGCTCTGGCCTCACTCTCAGACTTGCAGAGTGAGACCCCTTGGCTGGGAGAGAGGTATGTGTCCCTGTGGGACCCTCTCTCTATGTACCCCCACAGGGACACATACCTCTCTCTTCCTCTCACTCCTTCACCTATGGACCCTTGTTCTTTCAACTGCTCTCCTACCCACAAATGAGACAGAAGGCCATAACTTCCTAAGTAGCCAACAAGCTCCAGCCTTCTCCTGTGTCATGAAAATCTTCCCAGACTTGGCAGTGCTCAGGAGCGGATTGTGAGAGTTCCAGCTCCACCGTGACCCATTTCAGCTCCTGGATAGGAGGAAATAACATGTTGTAGTCCATGAAGATTTAGAAGGAAGGAAGGACTTTGGATGAGGGGGTTGAGTCATCTTACACTCTTGTTTTGCATCTTGTTTTAATATCTTTTTGAAAACCAGACATCTGTCTCTCACTGTGAGAATTAATCTCCTGCTCAATTATCCTTAACAAATCTACCTATGCAATGCCTGTTTCCTGATAAATGCCCAACATTTAGACCTCATTAAGAATATCTGCTATCTTCTTGACCGGGTGCGGTGGCTCATGCCTGTAATCCCAGCACTTTGGGAGGCCAAGGCAGGTGGATCACCTGAGATCAGGAGTTCAAGACCAGCCTCAACATGGAGAAACTCCCTCTCTACTAAAAATTGCAAAACTTAGCTGGGTGTGGTGGCACGTGCCTGTAATCCCTGCTACTTGGGAGGCTGAGGCAGGAGAATTGCTTAAACCTGGGAGGCGGAGGTTGCGGTGAGCCGAGATCGTGCCATTGCACTCCAGCCTGGACAACAAGAGCAAAACTCCGTCTCAAAAAAAAAAAAAAAGGAAAAGAAAAAAGAATATCTGCTACCTTCTCAACTTTAAATTATATTTCAAAGTTCTCTGGATCTCAGTTTTGGGGATCAGGTGCAATTGCCCCTTGCCAGTCCCAAGGTTTTTCTCCTTTGACAACAAGCAGGAGGTAGGGTCATGTCCCTCCAAAAAATGATGCATTAGGAGATCCTAACCTGAGGTATGTGTACATCAAGAACCTCTGAAGTTACTTTGTGAGCATTTTATAGCTTTCTCAATTTCTTGAAGAGGTCTGTCTCCAAAAAAAGATTAGAAACATTTCTATAAGTAGTCTTTGCAAATCCAAAAATCAATGTTATTGACTTATGTTCTTTAAATCTTCAAAAAGGAGTGCAGCAGGTCAATCAATCAGCAGTATAACACAAATCTTACCTCAGCAAAGATTTCCATTGAAGAATTGTTCCCTCCCCGCACATACAATTTTCTTTCTTACAGAATTTCTTTCTGTTATGATGATGACAATAGTAATAGCTATTATTATTATTACAGTTGTTATACCCTATATTTGCTTAGCACTGTGGGGTTTACAAAGCACTCTTCAGCGAATGATCTTATTAAACTTCCCAGCAGGTTTCTCTGTAAATATTATTGCCAGCACTTGTGGCTGAGAAAACAATCAAACATTTGGTCAAGACAAAGTCAAATCTTGGTCCCAGAGATTGAACCCACACCCAGGACTCTAAAATTTCTAGCTATGAAAACCAGTTGGCTATTTATTTGCATATTAACCTTTTTAGAAGAAAGGAAATTAAGCATTTGAGTGAGGGCTAAGCTTCCTTTAACCCACGCTTGTTAACTCTGCACATCACTCACCTTTAGGTCTTCTGGTAAAGGTATACCAGAAAGACACTTTCTTTTTCCTTAAAGGGTATGATGGGGATATAGGCATATGCCAGTGCCTTGAGGCCCATTAGTTATGTCTGTTAACACATTTTTATAAGCCATGGATGGAGAAATGCTCTAACTCAGCTTGGGCTCTAGCTCATGGACCCAGGTGTGGCGTTGGCTTGGTTAATTCTATTCCAAGAACACGTAAGCCAAGGTATTTCAAGACCACATATCATGGTCTCAGTTTAGTGTAGTTGAACAAACATTTATAATGTAACTTTTGCATGCTACATTTTGTATCATCGGGTTCTGAGGATATGAAAGTGAAGAAGACATACCATGTCTCTCTTCCAGGAGCTTACAGCCTGGGATTCAGATGCAGTGGGATTTGGGAGTCAGATGGGGCAATAATTCAATTTTTGAATTACTTTCCAGTTCCTATTAAATTTAACTCTGAACTCGAAGGTCTATTTATTAGCCTGCAGGTTGAATTTTATTGCGGTCGTTTCTTTCTGGATAACTAGGAGTTTTGGTAAAGCTTAGAAATTAATGGCTAAGTTAATTTGGCATAGAAATCTCAGGTTGATATGTTGTATTGTAACTCTGAAATATAAATAGAGGATGACTGCTGACTCTATTTCTTTAAATATCAGGGGATATCTGCAACTTCTGAACGAATGAAGTCCCCAAACTCAGCAAGGGGAGGGGGCGTTAGTACCCTCTTTCTCCATTCTCTATCCCCATCACCCAACTTTCTGGTTGGGTAAATTGACACTACATTGGAAGATTTTTTTTAAAGACATTTATTAAGGACCTAAGAATGGCTTGCTGAAGATATTTTTAAAGTTAATCATTATTCCTTAATTTGCTGTCTTATTTGTCAATTCATGAGTTATGCTTGTCTTATTTTCTTTTTCTTTTTTCTAGCAAAAATACAAAGAAGACTATGAAAATAAAATCAAAGGCAAATGGAGTGAGACACCTTGCTTTGAAGTTGCAAACGCCAGAATGAATGCTGATAACATCAGTACAGTAAGTGGGAAGGGATGGCCGATCGGTCTGTCGTCCCGGGAGGGAGACCCCTTTCCTTAGTGACTTCTAGCCACCTGCCCTACCTGAAGGGTTGCAGGACACTGAGGCCCCTCTTCTTGGGACAAGACCTGGTGCAGAGTTCCTGTTAGGAAAGAAATTTCACAAACTCTCTTTCCTTTTGAGAAATGTTATTTGGCCAAATACCATTATTTCTACCTCAATTTTTACAACACATTACGGTGAGACCCCCTTACCGAATGCAAAGTGCGGTTAGTACAAGTTAAAGGGATCCTTTTTAATTATTCTTTGCCTGAGGAGCCAAACTGTACAGTTATGAAATTGATTAATTTAGTATCTCCTCCCTGGAAAACATGTCTATTGTTTTTCTTTTCTTTTAAGTTTCCTGCTCCTGGCCCTTAAGAGCTCTTTCTTGGTAGCCAAGCAAAGCCTTTCTAATTCTGTTTTTAGCCTATTTTAATTGTTCTAAATCTCTGTTAAGTTGCTAATCATTTTTGCAATGGTACCATGTTCTCTAATTGTAATCTGACCAGCCTACACCAAGGACTGGGTGGCTTTGTGTAACTTTTCCAAATCCCTGTGTCTTCTCATGGAAATTCTTGCATAGTTCATTTCCACAGCAGTTCTTCACCTTGTCTAATGTCTTACAGAGGAAATACCAGGAAGATTTTGAAAACATGAAAGACCAGATCTACTTCATGCAGACTGAAACACCGGAGTATAAAATGAATAAAAAAGCTGGTGTGGCAGCTAGCAAGGTACAAGGAAACCATCCCATTTATCTTGATGGTTTGAGTGTGGGTGGATTTCTTATAACTTTGGCTCTTGCATATAATTAGTAAAAAAGGGGAGGGTGGTTCTTGGGGGAGCTATCAGGGTTGAGACCAGTGGATGTGAGGCATTTGAAAAAGAGTAGAATTGAAACAACAAGAACAACAACAAAAGTACTTTGGAATTATAATGGGGCTATTAAAAATGTTTTGCCATGTATGAGCATTAATAACATCGAATTACCATCTTCAGTATTTCCCAGAGTAATTTATTATTTGCCTAAGGAACCAGACTGTACATTTATCAATTTGATTTAGTGTCTTCTCACTGGAAGGACCTTTTGCTGTTTAGAAGGAGAAAGATTGTAATCTTAGAGAGCAGGACTTCCCCCAGGAAGAGGCAATCGGCGGCCTTATACGAAGATAAGCAATCATACATGCAACACTATCGTTATTTATCTTATTTTCCCACTGACTATGGAAAACCTGGTCGCAGGTTCATAAATCCATGGATATTTCCATATGCTCTATTGAGTGAGTTTGGTGAATGACCTGGGTCCTTGGCATTCTGAAGCATGATGGTCACTAAAGAGAGCAAAAACTTCAAAGCCAAACACACTTGGTTCTAATTCTGGCCTTGGCTGTGCTGGAGAAAGCAGGATTACATCACTTAGAAGGCTATTACAGCATCCACGTGTAAGACAGTGGTGTTTTGGACCAGGAGGGTAGCAGGGCAGGTGATGAGAAGTATTTTGAAAGCACAGCTGACTTGATTTGCCAATGGATTGGATGACACGGGTTTTGGTCTAAGCAATTAGATGAATGGGGTTTCCCTTTATTGAGACAGGGAAGACTATGGAAGAAGTTGGTAATTTTTGTGAAGGACAGACAGGAGCTCATCTTCAGATATGGTAGATCTGAGATGCCTTTTAGACATCCACATGGAAGTATCAGTGATCATTTGACTACATGAGCCTGAAGTTTCAGGGGAGATATATGGAAAGTTGTATAAACTGGGGTGTCGTCAGCGTACAGAGAGTGTTTCATGCCATGAGTCTGGAGAGCATTAAGGGAGTGAGTGTAAACAGAAAACTTTAGGGGCTGAACTCTGGGGTCCTTCCATGGGAACATATATGTGAGATGAGGGAGAAGCAAAATCAGGAGAGGGCCATGCGTTGGGAAGCAAGTGAAGGTGGAGGAGAGTCATCAACTGCGTCAAATGTCTCTGAAATGGATTTACCAATGTCTGGTCTCTGGTGACCTCAACAAGAGCAATTTGGTGGAGTCTGCTTGGAGAAGATTCATGAGTGAATGAAAAGAGGGAAATTGAAGCTAGAAGTATATTCAACTCTTTCTAAGTATTTTCCTGGTAAGAAAAGAAGAAAATGGGCAAGTAGCTGATGAAAAACTGGGTAAAGTGGGACTTTTTAAGATACGAAACAAAAACATCATGTTGATGGAAATAATCCAGTAGAGAGGGAAGATTTGGTGATGTTGGAATGGGGAAGAATGTCTGGAGTGATATCCTAGAGTATGTGGAAGGGGAAGAGATCTGGTGCTCAAGAGGAGGGGATGGCTTTGCCACAAGCCCTGACAGTTCTTCTGTATAACAGGGGAGAAGGCTGCATATCCCAGATGTGGGTACGGTTTGTGAGTCTGCTTTCTGGTTGTTTCCATTTTTCAAGGAAACAGATAATTCTCTAAGACGAAAAGTGATCTGAGTCTCTCATTCCTACAGCATACCCTTGTGAAGCTCTGTGGAGGCTGTGGGGTGGATGCCTCTGTACTTCCCTTGAGTATCTCTTGTCTTGATACCAGATTGCCTTTGTTTTCTGAGATTCGTAAGTGGTAGATTTATCTAGGATTCCTTGAACTTCTGTGGTTGTATTGCCTGAATAAAGGGCTTACACTAAGGATCATGGTGGGAACCAGGATCAGTTTCTTGTTCTAATCCCTGTGGACAGGCTCCTGATAGGGACTTGTGAACCCTGCCTTCCCTATTCTCCCCCAGCACCCCTCAACATGCTGCTTCTGCCATAGCTGGAATTAAAGGTGCAAATAGGAAGGGCAGAAGGAAAAGCAAGGCTCTTTCTCCTTGCTCCTACCTCCTCCTCCTCCTTGTAAATTGAATACATGTGTGCTCCACACACAGTTGCAGGTGAGGCTTAAAAGGGTGGATTGCTGGTACTTCCAGCTTCCTTTCTTTAGGAGCGTGTTGGCAGATAGGTAGCTGGGGGTTAAGAGCTGAGTGAAGGTTCTACAGCAGCAGGTATCTGGGACATCTTGCACGGTGACTATTTGGATTTCTTTCTCTCTCCTATTATTTCTGTGTCTCTCTCTTTGAGGGCAAGGACCATGTGTCCTTTCTTATATTCTGTCCCCAAGCCAGACACAGAATTGACACCCTATGGATAATTTTGAATGAATAAATGAATGGGAAGAAAAAGCATCCTGGAAATGTATGCAGTTTCTCTGCTGCTGTTATGCGTTACTATGAGTATTTTGTTTATAACATGTCAAGCTGCCATTTTTAATTGATTTGTGGAAGTATGTCATATCCATAATAGAGACGGGACAAAAATAACCCATAGAGTTACTTCATCATTTTATTTCACTCCTACAGGTAAAATACAAAGAAGACTATGAAAAGAATAAAGGAAAAGCAGATTATAATGTGCTTCCTGCTTCAGAGAACCCACTGCTTAAGCAGCTGAAGGCGGCAGGAGATGCCCTAAGTGATGTAAGTATATTTTTGTCAAAACGTGTTTTTAAACCTTAGCTGCAAAAGAGATGAAAATTTTCTCCTTTAATGACTAAATGCATATATAACTTTGCAAATAACGTTAAGGTTATGGAGTGGTAGGTTCATTGGAACTATGTAACCACAGAAGGGCATAGTACAATGTGCCTTAATGTTTGTGGTTCTGTGGGGTTAATTCAATGGGCAGGGAAATTCTCATTTGCTTATGAGCTCCGGCTCCTGGGCCTCCACATTGCAGGTGTGTTGTGATTTTAACAGAAGCAAGAAACTTTCAAAGATAGATCTGGGCCCCAGAAACCATCATTTGCCAACAACAGAACTTAAAAGATGGCCCCCTAAGTCTTCACAGGACTTTGTAATTGTGCAGTTATTAAGAGCCCAACTAAGCTGTTCAATTTGAAGCATATTAAGCAAATGAGACTGGGCTTGGGATTAAAAGACTAACAGCCTGAGAGAGAAGGAAAGAGATTGAATATGTGATGATTTGAGTTTATCTCTTATGGTTAGGTTTGCATTAAGCTTTCCTAACATTTGTGGATTTTATGTAGCTGTCTGTGTGGGTTAGTTATCTTTTCTTTGTCCCTTGAACTAAGCAGCATAGGAAATATGTGTGTGTGGTTGGGGAGCGGGTGGGGAAAAGTGGCAAGTGAGAGGGTATAAATAGATCTGTCCAAATAGCTCTGCTGGGAAATCAATGCAAAGCACGTTTGCTTTCTTTTAAAAAACCATTTTATTTCAGTCATTTTTCGGGCACAGGTGGTTTTTGGTTACGTGGAAAAGTTCTTTAGTGTTGATTGCTGAGATTTTGGTGCACCCATCACCTAAGCAGTGACACCTGAGACACTATCACGTAGTCTTTTCTCCCTCACTCCCACCCCAACATTCCACTCAAGTTCCCAAAGTCCCTTATATCATTCTTCTGCCTTTGTGTCCTCATAGCTTAGCTCCCACTTATAAGTGAGAACAGACGTTATTTGGTTTTTCATTCCTGAGTTACTTCATTTAGAATAATGGCCTCCAGCTCCATTCAAGTTGCTTCAAAAGACGTTATTTCATTCTTTTTTATGGCTGAGTAGCGTTCCATGCTGTATATATACCACATTTTCTTTATCTGTTGGTTGATGGGCCCTTAGGTTTATAGCAGCACAATTGTGAATTATGCTGCTATAAACATGCTTGTGCATGTGTCTTTTTCATATGATTTCTTTTCCTTTGGGTAGATACCCAGTAGTGGGATTGCTGGATTGAATGGTAGTTCTATTTGCAGTTCTTTAAGGAATCTCCATACTGTTTTCCACGGTGGCTGTACTAATTTACGTTCCCACCGTAGTGTAAAAGCAGTTTAAAGCAGTTTTGCTCTCTAACTGAAAAACATCCTTATTAAACATCTAAAAGACCAAGTTCCAATCTCCCTTGTTGATAAAGACAGGAATATAAAAATATTAAATGTGAATAGCATCATTTACATTTTGAAAAAAGTGACAATAATTTGCTTTATCAGCCACATATTTAAAACTAATCATTGCTTCCTGTTGTTCAAGCTAAAGGTAAATCCTGGCAGAGAAGAGGAGTTAGTAATAACTCATAGTACCAGTTCGTGTGTGTGTGTGTGTGTGTGTGTATATGTGTGTATATATATATATTAAAAAATCTTATTTTGAAGGCTAAATGTGTAATAAGATATTTTTTATAGGTATAGGAGAAAGAGAGATTGTGTATTTCTCACCTTACATAACTTTTTCATGAAGGTTTGTTTTAAAAAATTAAACAACTTGCAACTGCTCAAAACCTCCGTGTTTGCTGTGGTACTAGCCGTGAGGAAAGAGCTTGAGACAGAGAGGGCAGCAGTTCAGAAATACACAAGAATCTCTGCTACTCGGGGGGCGTGGTCAGAGGTGGCATGTTGGTCTCTTAGTTTTTTGAGTTTGGAATGTACGAAACTTAGGCTTTATAATAATTGCTAATAGAACAGTCTTATAATTCATGACACTGTGTGTTCAATTGTCAGGTTTTTTTCTTTTTGTTTTGTTTTGAGACGGAGTCTCGCATTGTCGCCCGAGCTGGAGTGCAGTGGCGCCATCTCGGCTCACTGCAACCTCCGCCTCCCGGGTTCAAGCGATTCTCCTGCCTCAGCCTCCCGAGTAGCTGGGATTACAGGTGCATGACACCAAGACAAGGTAATTTTTTGTATTTTTAGTAGAGAGAGGGTTTCACTTTGCTGGCTAGGCTTGTCTCAAACTCCTAACCTCGTGATCCCCCCGTCTCAGCCTCCCAAAGTACTGGGATTACAGGCGTGAGCCACCGTGCCCGGCCTCGATTGTCAGTTTTTAAGACAGTTGACAGGCGATATCTTTTCTTCATCTTTTGTTTAGTGTTAGAAAATGTAAGTGTTATAATCAGCGTGGGAGTGACAGCAATCTACTTTAACTGATTTTTTTTCTTCGACAGAAACTATACAAGGAAAACTATGAAAAGACAAAGGCAAAGAGCATAAATTACTGCGAGACCCCCAAATTCAAGCTCGATACCGTTCTGCAGAACTTCAGCAGTGATGTGAGCAATCTTACTGTCACTCCTTCTGTTAAAAAACAGAACCCATTTTTTCACCAATTAATAAATGAAATGTGTTTTATCTTGCAGAAGAAATATAAAGATTCCTACTTAAAAAATATTTTGGGACATTATGTAGGCAGCTTCGAGGATCCCTACCATTCACACTGCATGAGAGTCACAGCTCAAAACAGTGATGTAAGTTCTAAGATGATTGTTTGACTTTCCAAATAACATTTTTCTTAGGGCATGAATACAATGGCTGCATCTTATGCCTGATTTCTTCTCCTCGTAGAAAAACTACAAAGCAGAATATGAAGAAGACAGAGGCAAAGGCTTCTTCCCTCAGACCATAACTCAAGAATATGAAGCAATTAAGAAACTAGATCAGTGTAAAGATGTAAGTCTGTAGTCTGAACTTTGAATGTGACTGCCTTCCATAGCATCTAGTGGTCAGGATATGTTTAAAATGTTGACACCTTTTCAAATAAAATAAAATTTATTTATAAATAAATAAAATAAAATTTATTTTCAACTAAATAAATTTCATTTCATTGCGAGAAATGAAATCTGTTTTGTAGTAAACATGCTGTTTTCCCCTTGTTGGCATCGCTACATTTTAAAAGGTAATTCTAGCTCATTTTCCCAAAGAAGAGTTATCAGAAACCTGAAGATACAGGAAAGTTTCTCATACGGATGTAAGAGCACTTCTCAAACTACAGTCTAGCTAGAAAAAAAAATACTTTATTAACTACAAATTGCTTTGCTTTGTGGGGCATGAGGTTCTATTTGCTTGGCCTATGGGCCACCTTGGATCTGATAGGTGATACTGCTAAACCAAATGCCTTTGCTTCCCCACAGCACACCTACAAAGTCCATCCAGATAAGACAAAATTCACCCAAGTTACCGACTCTCCTGTTCTGCTACAAGCCCAAGTCAATTCCAAACAACTGAGTGATGTAAGTTCCTCTAACTACCCAGGACACCCAATTATGAGGGATAACATTTCATAACTCTATACGTAAAATCCAATGACTTATCAAGTTTATCCAAAAGGCTGAGTAAGTATTAGCAAGTTTAAACAGTATGTATTTGTATAAACACATATTTCTGCATCTTCTTGGGTGGATAACATTTACAGTGAAACGATTCTGTGAAGGAAACAAACGTAGCTGAAAGCTATGGAAAGAATGTGAGTTCTAGAGTCAGACAAAACTGCCTTCAAATGTTAGCTCTGTCATTGATGTCTGGGTGGCCAAAGATTTAACCCCCCTCTGCCCGATATTTCTCTTGTATAATTTGTGGCTGTTTTGAAGAGTCAGTGAGGGAAGACATGTGCACTGCACATACTCCGGCCAACAGCAGGTATTCAGTACATGAGTTTCTCTCTCCCTAGTAAGTTTCTGGAAATTGGAATCTCTGAGACAAATTTTATTATATGAGCTTTAAGTGTGGATTTCCAAAGTTGTGTTGAACTAAATATAAAAGTAACCTTAGTAGATTTATGGCCAGAAATGAAGGCTCCAATTAGAGCCTCAAAAGCCCTGATGTCTGTGAAAGGACTCTTAATCAGATGAAAGGAAAGTGGCTCTGGTATGTGAGCATTGACAGTGACAAGAGAGACAGGGCGAGGCCCCTCTCAGAACCTACAGGGTCAATTGTGCTACGCAGGGAGGGGAACATGTTTGACAGAGCCACCTCATTCCCTTAGGGTCCTACCATGGTGACAGATGTGATAATAGCTGTCAAGTGTCCCGCACACAGGTTCAGTAATGCAGGTGGCCTACCCAAGCTCTAGATGTCTCTTCTGATCTCAACGGTGCTGACATTTACTTTACAAAATGTACCACACAAGAATTTTTGTATTCTGGAACAATTATTTTGAACTAATTGGTTCTCTCTCTCTCTCTCTGTCTGTCATAGTTAAATTACAAAGCAAAACATGAAAGTGAAAAGTTCAAGTGCCATATCCCTCCTGATACTCCTGCTCTTATCCAGCACAAAGTCAATGCCTATAACCTGAGTGATGTAAGTTCCTCATGCCCTGTACCACATGATGTACTGACAACCTGTGCTTTTATTTTTGAACTGCTTCATTACAATTCAATGAATGGGATTAATGTTAAAAATGGGAAGACCTGTTAACATTTGTGTCATGTTCCTATGCCTCTGCCAATATAACTCAATTCACCTTACAAAATGTGTGTAGCAATCTTAAAGTAGTTTCATGCAATTAGATGATCATAATATAGTATTGTAACCAGCCCTCAGAATGCTACCTCTCATGTATGCTTAATTGCAATTTTAATGGTAGATCTTTTAGCCATATATTCATCTAAATTATACTATAATTCCTTTATTCCCTGGGCTTATAATGTCCCTTATTTCACACAAATGATACTTATTTCTACACGTATGAGAACGTTCATGAATAAAGATATAGGGGATTGAAAGGGCAGAAGTCCAGATATCCATTTCTGTCCTTCATTTTTCAAACTTAATTTTATAAAAAAGTTAAATTATCCTTGGGGTTTTCAATTTCTTCAATAATTCTATAAATGAGTACTAAGATAATCTGGCATCAATGAGTATTGAAATGATTTATGAAATAACCTTTGCAGAGAACTTAGAGGTCAAATGATGCCTTTATATCATAGAAAAGTAAGTTAACTGTAGAATATTTGTGCTACTCTATAAAACATTCAGTGTTAGGAATCAAATATTAGTATAATAGCTAGAATTAAATTAATTTGATAAAAATTTCTCATGGGGAGTAGAGAAGCCCAATCTTGGAGAATTAATAGCTCCAGCTTGAGAAGAAATGTTTAAAATATGCATGATTTCCTAGACAATATAAAGGGCCCATTTATTTTGTATTAAGACAAGGTGTTTAGTTACCCATTAGTCTTTAAAGGTCATGACATGTGTATCACTTTTGCCAATTCCTTTGCTGAATTTTTCTGTCCAGAATCTTTATAAGCAAGACTGGGAGAAGAGCAAAGCCAAGAAGTTTGACATTAAAGTGGACGCCATTCCCCTGTTGGCAGCCAAAGCCAACACCAAGAACACCAGTGATGTGAGTGTGGCCTGGGGATCTGGGGACCTGGACAGGGTGGCCTCGGGGACATGTCCTGGTGAGTGGGATCTGGCACGTGTGATGTCTTTGCAGGTGATGTACAAGAAAGACTATGAAAAAAACAAAGGGAAAATGATTGGAGCCCTCAGCATTAATGACGATCCCAAGATGCTGCACTCCTTGAAGGTGGCCAAAAACCAGAGTGACGTGAGTGTCTTTGTAATTCACCCCTATTTTCAGATGTAACCACAAAGTTGCTGTTTAATATAACCTTGGATGGACATTAGCCTAACTGAAATCTCAGATCCAGGATGACAGATCACACGTGAAAGCTTCACCCAGGTGATAAAAGAAGATGAACTTCCTTATTCTTGTTGATGCCTTTGATGCCAGTGAATATTCCAAAAGTTTCCTTAATCTCCTTAATGCCTTCTGTTTTATTAGGAGGAAAAATATTCTGACAATATCATTGTTCTTATTGTTTTTCCTAGAAATGAGCTTAATATGTTTAAGTATAGGTACATGTGCATGTATATATTCACCCAATGCCCTGAACTGATTAAGGTACTTTGCAAAAATATAGAGAGAGAGAAAAATGAAAAGAAGTAAGGAAATTAGTTGAAGGTCAAAGTAAGAAAAACTACATAAGACATAAACTCAAAAGCAAAGCATTTTATTTTAAGAAATTTATAGAATATTGATCTTATTTTAAAGACTTCAACATACTTATTAAAAATAAAATATGACCCACCAATCCCATTACTGGGTATATACCCCAAGGAATATAAATCATTCTATTATAAAGATGTGTGAACAAATATGTTCATTGCAGCACTATTCACAATAGCAAAGACAAGGAATCAACAGTGATAGATTAGATAAAGAAAATGTGATACAGATACACCATGGAATACTATGCAGCCGTAAAATGGAATCAGATCATGTCCTTTGCAGGGACATGGATGGAGCTGGAAGCCATTATCCTCAGCAAACTAACACAGGAACAGAAAATCAAATACCTCATGTTCTTACTTATATGTGGGAGTTGAACGTTGAGAACACATGGATATATGGGGGGTACAACACACACTGTTGGAGGTTGGGGGTGCAGGAGGAGGGAGAGCATCAGGAAGAATAGCTAATGGATACTGGACTTAATTCCTAGATGATGGGATGATCTGTGCACACACTCACCTATGTAACAAACCTGCAATCCTGCACATGTACAACTGAACTTAAAAGTTGGAAATAGAACAAAAAAATAAAAAATAAGATAAAACTCTTCACAGAAATTGCTTTCCTAATTCCTAGCAAAAAAGAAATACAGACAAATAATATTTTCATTTATATTGCTCTAAAGAAAACTGTTAGGTCTTAATGATAAAAGCCAGCTTCCAGAAGTGTTACAAAATGCGTTTTCACCCAGTGCTCAAAGGAATACTCTTCCAGGACTGTGCTTAATTATCTAAGGTTCACCTTATACCTTTTACCTCATTTTGCATCAATTCTCAGACTCGTTTTTCTTTTTCTTTCTTTCTTTTTTTATTTTTTGAGACAGAATCTCGCTCTGTCGTCCAGGCTGGGGTGCAGTGTCATGATCTCGGCTCACTGCAATCTCTGCTTCCCAGGTTCAAATTATTCTCCTGCCTCAGCCTCCCAAGTAGCTGGGATTACAGGCATGCGCCATCATGCACAGCTAATTTTTGTGTTTTTAGTAGAGATGGGGTTTTACCACGTTGGCCAGGCTGGTGTCGAACTCCTGGGCTTGAGTGATCCACCCACCTTGGCCTCCCAAAGTGCTGTGATGACAGTCATGAGCCACTGCACCTAGCCAAACTCATTTTTCTTTAAACATATTCAGATGAATTATTTTAAGACAAAAACTTACTTAAATAGCAGCATTGGTGTCCTTTAAGTTATTCAGTCTGAAAAAATATTAGGACAAGTAACATACACATCTTTATGATTATTAGCAGATGAGATTATATAAGGCATGAGCCTCTACCACATCTATCCTGCTTTTCTGCTTTGTGGAAAATTGATGGTGAGAAAACATACATTTTGCCCCTTCAGTTAAAGCGTAGCAATGACATGAATGGCTGTTACTTTTTGAGATATATTTTTCTTTCTTTTTGGTTTAATTTCTTTTTCCTTTAACAGAGATTATACAAGGAAAACTACGAGAAGACAAAGGCAAAGAGTATGAACTACTGCGAGACCCCAAAATATCAACTTGATACACAGTTGAAGAACTTCAGTGAGGTTGGAAAAGCCACGGTTACCTCTCGGGTTGGAGGGCTTTCCTACTGTTCGACAAATGACTGTTAACTTGAATTACATTTGTTTTATTTTTCAGGCTAAATATAAAGACTTATATGTAAAGAATATTTTGGGACATTATGTAGGCAGCTTTGAGGACCCATATCACACACACTGCATGAAAGTTGCAGCTCAAAACAGTGACGTAAGTTTGAAGACAATGGTTCATGCCTCACAGTGACATTGTTCGAGAGCTATAACAATCATGATCTATTTTTGGTTTTTCTCATTACAGAAAAGTTACAAAGCAGAATATGAAGAAGATAAAGGAAAGTGCTATTTCCCTCAGACAATAACACAAGAATATGAAGCAATCAAGAAGCTGGACCAGTGTAAAGATGTAAGTTATCTGCCCTGAATTATTGAAATTGGGCTTGGGATTCTTGTGACATCTAGTGGTAAATTTAGCAGGAGTTTAATGGTAATATCTAGTGATTAGAAGGAGATAATTACACCTAACATTTTGGTTTTGGGGTGGAACCGGGGAACACAATAATTATGATGAGGAAGGCGATTTGTTACAAAATAATTTCAGATTTTATAGATCTTAACTTCCATTAGTTTATATGTACATGAATTTGGGGCAAAAGAAGGACATGCAGGTTTGAGATAGGTGTTCATTATTTAACAAATTCACGTGAGAAGCCGTCCTGGGCCAGGCACTTTCCTTGGTGCTGAGAAAGACAGGGAAAAAGCCGGCAACCTCTTGAGCTCCCACTTAGTGGAGGAGACAATAAACAAAGGAAGGAGCACAGAAATAAGAAAGATGTCAAGCGATGATAAGAAAACTAAAATAGGATGATGATACAGAATTAAAATAGGACAATGTGTGAGAGAGTGACCGGATGGGCATCTTAGGTTGGGTGGTCACGGAAGATCTAAAACAGGCATGACCTGCCAGGCCAAGGTCAGCGGAGGAGCAGCAGGGAAGAATGGCCTAAGGAGAGAACAAGCTCAGTATTTAAGGAATTGAAAGGATGGGGTGGCTGAAATGTACTGGGGAGGAGGGCAGTAGTAAGAGGTGAAATGGCTGGAGATGAAGGAGGGGATGGATTCTGCAGGGATCATAAGCCGACGTGCAATTGAGACTGAATACCAAGTTCACTAAAGAGTCACTGTAAGGCTTCAGCAGGGGAAGGCTAATCTGGTTGCTGAGTTGCTGTAGGCAGACCAGAGGCAACTTGGGAGGTGGCGATCAAAGGAAAAAGAGAGAGAGAGACAGAGAAGTGAGAATGTAAACACATCAACTAAATTTTCAGGAACAAAATAGACTTCATTTTGACCTGGAACCATTTTTTATGTTAGCGTATGTACAACCAAGAATATATTAATACATTATAATGTATAAATACATTATAAATTTCATTTAAGAACATCTTCTTTTCTAGCATACCTACAAAGTTCATCCAGATAAGACCAAGTTCACAGCAGTCACTGATACTCCTGTAATGTTGCAAGCCCAACTCAACACGAAACAGCTTAGTGATGTAAGTGCTTTGATTTATGCAAGCGTGGGTGACCCAGAGTGCTTTGCTCATTTAAAATGTAAGCATTTACATGCTTAATCTTTATGGGCTTAACTACCATCCCAATATTATTATTTTTCAAGATTTGTTTAATAAAACACAAATGAGGCTGCTAGACTGAATTGTAGCCTGAGGAAAGTCGTGTTAGACAATAATAAAAATAAATATTTTTTAATAACTCACTGATTTTTAGTGGGACTATCTTATTCATTAGGATCTGTCACATGCACACTAAAACTCCATGCCAACTTAAATAAACAGTGACAACAGAAGCATCTATTTGTGTAGGACAAGGCAAATATTTCCTATTCTTGAATTTGCTAACAAAGACTTTACAAAAAGAAAGGGCGCAGTAACAAGACAGACGTCGAACAATGACAAGAAAACTAATATAGAATGATGCCACAGAATTTAAGTGGGATGACATCAAAGAAAGAACTGGATGGGCACTTTAGATTGAGTGGTCAAAGAAAGTCTAAGACAAGCATGGTCCAGTCATGCCAAGATCAGGGGGAAAGCAGCAGTGCTTCTCAGACATCCACATTCATGCAATCACCTGCTGACCCTGTTGAAGTACAGATTCTGATTCAGTAGATCTGGGGGACTCCATATTCCGACTTTCTAATAAGCTCCTAGGTGATGCTGATGCTGTGATTGGTAGGCTACTCTTTGAACAGCAAGATGCTAACATAGCTAAGTCCTAGAGAGTAGTACACCCTTCTCAAGATAGGAAAGTGAAAGATACAGTGTGTCCTACTATAAAATGTTTTAATGACACAAATTAGCTCATACCCAATTAGTAAAGAGGAGAATCGCATCAGTATAACCCAGAAGTCATTTCAGCTCATGTGCCACTTTTCCGAGCATCTTAATATTTTGTGTTCCAGTAAAGAACAGTTAAACACTAACATCACTGATCTAGCTGAACTCAGCAAGCTGCAGAGAAATATAGTGCTGTATGTGGTCACAGTCACTATCAATCACTCTTCCTATTGGCTTAGGTAGGCAATGGACTCTGCCTTGGAATTATTTCTTGTATAGTTCTCAGTCTTGTGCATTTTTGCCTTTGGCTCCAAAATTAAACAGTCTCATCCGTTCTTTACACTCAATTCCTTACACCTAATGTCACATTTTAAAACATTTAAATAAAGTTCTGTGTTTAATATTTTAAGTAAGAATTCACAACCAGGTGCAGTGGCTCATGCCTGTGATCCCAGCACTTTGGGAGGCCGAGGCAGGCAGATTACTTGAGCCTAGGAGTTTGAAACCAGCCTGGGCAACATGGCAAAACCCCATCTCTACAAAAATATTTTAAAAATTAGCTGAGTATGGTGGCACATGCCTGTAGTCTCAGCTACTCAGGAGGCTGAGGTGGGGGGATCTCTTGAACCTTGGAGGTGGAGGTTGCAATGAGCCGAGATTGTGTCACTGCACTCCAGCCTGGGTGATGGAGCCAGACCCTGTCTCAAAAATAATAATCATAATAATAACAATTTACATGTCTTTTTAACTGTGCTAACATTTTGTTTACAACTGTTATTGTTTTTGTTAGTGCTTTAATTGCAGGAGTTCATATTCTGCAGACACAGCCTAGCAGTGTAGATCAGAAATGTGTTCCCATGTATATAACAGAATCTATGCAATGGCAGCCGGCAGCCCAAAGTATGGTTACACAGCAATCCCCCTTATCCACGGTTTTACTTTCCATAATTTCAGTTACCTGCAGTCAACCGTGGCCCGAAAATATGAAATGAAGTTCATATTTTCCAGAAATTCGTAAAATTCCAGAAACCATGAGTCTTAAATTGAATGTTGTTCTGAGTAGCATGATGAAATCTCACACCCATCCCCCTTTGTCCCTTCTTTATCAAGAAGGGTGAAAACATACAGTAAGATATTTTGAGTGAGACAAACCACATCCACATAACTTTTATTAAGTATATTATTATAATTTTTCTATTAGTTATTATTAATCTCTTATTAAGCCTAATATATAAATTAAACTTTATCGCAGGTATGTATGTATAGGAAAGAACATAGTATATATAGGGTTCAGTGCCATCCATGATTTCAGGCAGCTACTGGAGGGTCTTGAAAAGTATCCCCCAAGGATAAAGGAGGACTGTGCCACAGTCCCTGAAATACGGAATGACAGTTTGAATCCTGTGCGAGACTTTGGCTGAATTGAATATCTCTTTGAGGCATTTTTCTAAAAACGGCACTAATGCCTTAGCTATATACGCTGTCCTAAATAAACTCAAAGAAGTTCCCCTGAACTGTTCGAATATCCTGTGTTTTTCAGCTGAATTACAAAGCAAAACATGAAGGTGAGAAGTTCAAGTGCCATGTACCAGCAGATGCTCCACAGTTTATCCAACACAGAGTCAATGCCTACAATCTGAGTGATGTAAGTACCAAAGCCACAGAAGCCTGTGTTTGGTGTGCATGAAAAGAGAAAATGTTATAAATGTTAAAAGACAAGACTAGGAATTGTGCAAATAAACAACTATTAAGATTGTTACCGTGTAAGTGGAGCTTTTAAGGCCAAAATGCTCTTAAGACTCCTCCTTAGCTATCAGATTTCATTTTCTATGGTCTCTGTTACCACCAGAAGATCTCCAATTACCCATCTGCTATTCCCTGGAGTTTTACAACATCTTTCCTGTGTAAATGTCACATTTCACCTTCTCCAAGTGGTTGTCATTTTATAGCATCCTTATATAAATCAGGATAGCAGAGTGTTTAGAAAGTTTACAGTACATTAAAAAGAGTAGTTGATACTTATTTAGTGTTAGGGAGAAAGAAACTGGATGATAGATAAATCAATACTTATTCTACAATTTGATAAATATAGTATTTATAGGAGAAGTAAGTCTGTGTATACACAAATTTTCAATATATTTTTATTTTTTTACTGGATTATACTGTGTTTACTGTTGTTCTTACGATTCCTTTGCTGAATTTTTCTGTCCAGAATCTTTATAAGCAAGACTGGGAGAAGAGCAAAGCCAAGAAGTTTGACATTAAAGTGGACGCCATTCCCCTGTTGGCAGCCAAAGCCAACACCAAGAACACCAGCGATGTGAGTGTGGCCTAGGGACCTGGGGACCTGGACAGGGTGGCCTCAGGGACACCTGGTGAGTGGGATCTGGCACGTGTGATGTCTTTACAGGTGATGTACAAGAAAGACTATGAAAAGAGCAAAGGGAAAATGATTGGGGCCCTCAGCATTAATGACGATCCCAAGATGCTGCACTCCTTGAAGACAGCCAAAAACCAGAGTGATGTGAGTGTTTTTGTGAATGTGTCTTGTTTTCAAGATGAACTCCCTGCTAAGATGCCCAAGGGTAGTAGTGTGGAAAGGATTTCATGAGCACGGGCTCTTTCACGTTCACAGAAGTACTGCTATAGAGAACTTAGAATGATGCCCCGGATCATTGCACCTCCCACATTTGAGGGGAGAAGTTACTGATTTGTACTGATACTCATTTCACTTTGAAAAATGTATGCATTAATATTTAATAGAATATTGATTATGTTCTTAAAACCTTTCAGAAAACACTAAATATTTTCAAATTTTTTTCTAATTGAAAAATAATTTTTAAAATGATAAATTTTCAAACTGTCTTTACTTTGGAAGACATGAGTCACAAAAATCTTAATACAGTATCATTGTTCCTCATTGACTTTAGTAATGAGTTTGGTCTAGATCCAAGAAAAAGACTCCATTGATTATAAACCCCTTTGAGACTCGGATAAAAGATTTGAATCATCTATCTAGAAAATGAACATTTCTTTTCATGCCTTTTGCTTGAATTCTGGTGAACTCATGGGTTCCTTAAGGCTTGTCTATGGGCCATGTAACATTTTCCAGTTAAAATTCTTACTACAGAGAGACAAACATCTACTATTGCAAATTATAGTATATATTGTGTATAAAATGTTTAGAGAATCCGTTAAGAGTGCTGAGCATGTTCAGTGTAGCTTGCAGATACTAGTTTTTTATGATGAAAGAGAAGGGTGTTTGTGTCATTTAGTTTTAACCATGCTTTTATATAATGATCTATACATACCTCTTTAATTCATTTTGCATTTATTCTGTCATCACATAGCACTTTAAAACTTCTAATTCTGTAATTTTCTCTAGTAACTTCACAGTGGATTATGTCAGTATGTAGTGCTCACTTATATTACTATCTTGTTCACTAGCTGAGTCTCCTCAGCTCGAGAAGGATATAACTCCCCACTAATAGCATGTGTATTTTTATCTTTTGTTTTTATTCCTATCACAGAACCCAGTAGTAGGCACATAATAAATGCCCAATAAACATTTGTTAATTGATAGATGACCAAAACATATAGCAAATGAGTCATTCTCATGTAATATCCAGGCAAAATGCTAAGCTGCAGATATAGAATATGCATAGCTTTTTAAAAAGAATCTTTAAAGCCGTTTGGATCTTTGACGACATTTTATATGTACTGGTATGTGTCAGCTGGTGTGAACATGAACAAAACAGTAACAACAATTTCTTCAAAATACTTCCACACAACTATTGCTGTTGCAATATTGCTTTATCAGTTTATTTCTAATGAAGACAAACTGTTGTTTTCAATGTTGTTGCAAACTATCAGAAAGTTTCCATACTTTACTTTTATAAACCAGGGTCTCAATTTTATAGTTAAGTAATAAATGTATTCAGTGAAAGTGACCACCCACAAAATGTGAGAAGGAAGATCAAGTTCCCTTAGAAAGCCAAAAGATCAGATCGTTTGCAAAAGGAATTGTTACAGAAGATTTGTAGTGCACATCTGTGCTTGCCAGCTTAGGTCACTGTCTCTAACACATATATGACCATGGGGAACTAGGATGAGTTTAGAGTTTTCTTAAAGGCAGTGGATCAAAATTTTTCTGTCAAAGTAATTGGTGACTGGATATAATGAAGCTGGGAATTAGACCCAATTAGCACCTTGTCTAGCCATTCCAGGAAACCAGACAATGAAGGGAGCCCTCGAGGCCCAGTCAGTACATTTGGTTTATAATGCTGTGCAGAAGGGCCAACGTTATTTTAATGGCTCAGTTTCTCAAACTTTTCTCCCATGAAGTCTTTTCACTGCTGCAATCTGAAGCTTCTTTTAAATTGTTGCTCAAATTGAACTTGATATGAAAACAACCTTTGAGATTCTCAGTGGGGCTTATCTCCTGCCAACAATAGGTTGAAAAGCAGTTGACTATCCATTCAAAAATGACTCTATCCAGCCAAGAAACTAAGCCTACAGCCCTGTGTATGAAGTAGTCATTTTATTAAAATCAAATTGTTATATGGTTTTCATTACAATTAAAAAATGCTTCTTTACTGAAAACTCTTCATAGGTTAAATTACATTAATAATAGGAACACTTGTTAGTGGTCCTTGAGGAACCCTGTTTTAGAATAAAATCATTCCTGTTCCTGACTGAAGCAGAAGCTGTGGCCCATTTTCTGCTGTGACCCAGACAGTTTCTCATTGATCTGAGGTCTGCCCATGTGTGCTTTTGGGGGAATTTCAATGGTGTAACATGTGAACACGTTTTTGGGCAAAATAACTACTCAGATGTTTGACTCTTTCTCTAACTTGTATTTATTGTTTATGGAAGATCTCTGTCTTTTCCGGAAATCCATTGAGGATTTGTGATAATAAATGATAATTTCCTATTCACAGCGCGAATATCGAAAAGATTATGAAAAGTCAAAAACTATCTACACGGCACCTCTTGATATGCTCCAAGTCACTCAAGCTAAGAAATCTCAGGCAATTGCCAGTGACGTTGATTATAAGCACATCTTACACAGTTACAGCTACCCGCCCGATAGCATCAACGTGGACCTTGCCAAGAAGGCATATGCACTACAGAGCGATGTGAGTAACCAGAGTTTCTGTAGCCCTTCTTTTAAAAAGACGGAAACTGAAATAGGCTTCAAAGTTGAGTGAGGTTTTAGCACTTCTCAGAGGTGTCTGCATTGTCGTATGTATGGAAGCAAACGACCCTTGTGGTTCTATAAGAGCATGCCTTTCAATGTTAGGAAGATCTGATCTGGCATGCACCCCATCACTGTTTCCCTCGAGGAAAGTTATCAACCTTGCTAAGTCTAGAGTCCTCTTCTGTAAAATGGAAATAAATCAAAAACATTGTTTGGAGGATGTAAATGCATGCAAAATACTTAGCATGGTGCCAGGCCCTGGTGAGTTCTCAATAAACATTCAGTATCTATCATCACTATTATCATAATCATCACATTCATCATTATCAATGATCTTTACATAGATTTCTATCTGAAAAGAAATATATCATTTAACATAAATATTTATAATAATGGTTTTTTCTGCAGATCAGAGCTTCTTTAAGCAAATTAATTTGTCCAAACTCTGCAACTGAATACTTCATCCTAACAATTCTATTTTTTAAAATGTGATAAAATGCACTAACATAAATTTACCACCTTTGCAGTTTTCAAGTATACAGTTCAGTGGTGTTAAGTGTATTAACATTGCTGTACAACCAATCTCCAGAGCCTTTTCATCTCCCAAACTGAAATTCTGTATTCATTAACAGCAACTCCCATTTTCCTTCTTCCCCTAGCTTGTGGCAACCACCTATCTATTCTTTGTTTCTAAGTTTGACTAACCCTAGATATCTCATATATGTGAAGTCATATAGTATTTGTCTCTGTGTGATTGTCTTATTTCACTTAGCAAAATGTCCTCAAGGGTCATCCATGTTGTAGCATGTATCAGAATTTCCTTCCTTTTTAAGGGTGAATAATATTCTATTGTATGGATATGCCATGTTTTATTCGCCCATTCATCTGTTGGTAGACATTTGGGTTGCTTCCACCTTAAAGCTATTTTGAATAATGCTGCTATGAATATGGGCGCGTGAATATCTCTTTGAGATCCTGCTTTCAATTCTCTTGGGTATAAACCCAGAAGTTGAATAGTTGAATCACATGGTAGCTCTATTTTTTATTCGTAGAGGAACCACCATACTGTTTTCTGCAGCGGCTGCAAAATTTTACATTCCTACCACTAAGAATTCTATATTATGCATTGTTATTCTGCTTGTTATTAGTTTGATTTTGTTATGTTTTTTCATCCCAAATAGATCGTAAGCCTCTGAAGGGCAGGAACTAAATGCTTTCTTGATTTTCCATTCTACTTAAAAGGCCCAGAGTAAAAACAACAGTTTGAATTTTGTATCTAAAATGTAAATTTTTGGTACCACCTATGCTCAGGCAACAAGAGTAGCTCATTATTTTAATAGCATCAAGTAACTGTGCCTCAACTAGGACCAATTCCAAATAATAACTGCTCTCTTATGCAAATTAACGAGTGCAACTATTTTAAAGTGTTTTGTTAGCCAGTGTAGAAACACTCCAAAGTTGACCAGTACACATGAAGGGCCATGTGGGCAAACACTCAGTACAAATAATTCTATTAAGTCTTATGTAATAGGAAATTAGAAAATGAGCAAATAATCCACCTTCAATGCGGCCTTCTATTTTAATCTGATAGAAACATAATACTTAAAGTTCCAGTGAACAAACGTCTCACATTTGGTTAACTGACAATTTCACTTCTTTGAAGTGCAAATTTGACTTGAGCATTTTCCGGGTTGGAATTAGAGTACCACATGCTTCCATTAAGTTGGAAATAAGGATGAAATGGAACATACACCAGTTAGAAGGAAAGCAAAAATCTAAGAGCTGTTACTATATCTCACCAAAGAAATATATAAAATAACCTTAATGTCTGGAGTAAGGAAGCTGGTCAGAAATCTCAAAAACATTGTTTTGGGTAAAACATTGATGATTTTGCATAATGATGTTGACACAGCAAAGAAATGTAACCTTTCTCTTGGTGTTTTAGGTTGAATACAAAGCTGACTACAATAGCTGGATGAAAGGTTGTGGCTGGCTGCCTTTTGGGTCCTTAGAAATGGAAAAGGCCAAGCGAGCTTCAGACATCCTCAATGAGGTAAAGCCACCGGGTGTGTCAGAGAGAGTGGTGACTGTGTTGTGTTAAAGTTCTCTAAACCATGGGCAGTGCTCCTTCATTGCTTCATTCTCAGTCACTGTTGCTGAGGAAAAGAGCTTACCAAGTGCATGAATTACCCGGGTAGACCAGCACAAACCTTTATATTACCAAAATCATTTATGTTAACCATTCATTATGGAAATATGTTTAACAATTTTATTAAGGTATAACTTGTTAACCGTTTATGTTAACCATTTATGTTAACCATTCATTATAGAAATATTTTTAACAATTTTATTAAGGTATAACTTGCATACGATAAAAGTCCCTCATGTTAAGTGTACACCTTGACAGGTTTTAATAAATTCATATAATTGTGTAGTCATCACTGCAATTGAATTTTAAAATGCTGCTAGCGCCCCAGAAAGTTTCCCCCCAAAACTGCAGCTCTCATCTTCAGCCCCAGGCAACCACTGATTTGCATTCTATCTCTAAAGTTTTATCTTTTCTAGAAATTTCTTTTGTATCTGGCTTCTTTCACTTCATGTAATGTTTCTGTGATTCATCCATGTTTCTGCTTATAATTTGGTTTTTTAAAATTATTGAGTAGTAATCTTTTGTGTGGATTTACTAGGTTGGTACAAAAGTAATTGCAGTTTTGACATTAAAAGTAATGGCAAGAACCACAGTTACTTTTGCCCCAGCATAATACGTACCACATTGTTATTATTGTTTCACCTGTTGGGGGATATGTGGATGGTTTCTATTTTTTTGTGATTATGAATAATGCAGCCATTATAGAACTTGTCTTTGGAGAATTATTCCCTATGTCATATTCTGGTTGGCTTTGAAGTAAAATATAAATTCAGTGTAAGAAAAAATAGTGATGATCTTGAGGCTCATAAGGCAGCAAGGTTTTGTGTCCCTTCTCCGTGACAGTTGAAGACTCACTGCTGTCAGGTGAGTACATCCGCAAGGAGGGCAGACTACACAAAGGACAGAGGTGTGGCATGAGGGTTGTCTTCCACACTCAAGTTTTACGTTTTGTTCAGTATTTTGTTTTCAATGAAAACCATTTTGTCTGCTCAAAGATCTTCCAGAAGAAAGTTCTAGGTAGTGGTTTTTAAAAGTCTGAAGCTGAAAGAGTGATGATACTAACTGGGATGTACAATATGCACAAAGGAAGAGGACTGGGAAAATAGAGACGGATACAGGAATAAGATAGCCAGAAGTTGTCAGCTCCCAGTGGGCACACCTCCCCAGGGTCTCCTCTGCAGTGTCCCTTTAGCGCTTTGGTGATAACTTATGTACTAACCACATTAAGGCTTGCAGAGCAAAAGTCCTGTCTCTCTCTTAATAATAATTCCTAGCTGTTGGCCTAGTTCCTCAACTCCTCCTCCTTCAACCAGACAGCTTCTTGATGCCATTTGCTGATGGAATAACAGGGAAAAAGAGAACTTGTTTGTGTCATGCAAAGACACTCCAAATCTCCTTGCTTGCTTTTCTGTCAAACCTTTAGAAAACTCTGTAATGTTTCTGGATTCTGCTTAGCTGAGGGTATGTTCTTTCATGTCATAGGCAAGAAATTAAGAAAGGAGTCTGGTTCCTGAGAGCAGTATGTGTGTCTGTGCTGTCCCAAACCAGCCACAATTAAATGGATTTTTAAAAATACTGACTTCTGTATGGCATTCATCAAGCCAATCAAGAATCTAGTATTTTTACATTTTAAAATCATGGAAGAAATCTTCCTTGTCACTTCAAAATAAATTTCAAGGATTTTGACGTATTAACCTTCAGTGAAAAACAAAGTTGTTTTTCTGTTTTTGATTTGCCGAACAGAAAAAATATCGCCAACATCCAGACACGCTCAAGTTTACCTCGATTGAAGATGCTCCAATTACAGTACAGTCTAAAATTAATCAGGCCCAGAGGAGTGATGTAAGTGTTAATCCTATCTGTATGTTAATAGATGTTAACTAATACAAATACATTTGTATTTCAAATGTACTGATCACCTCTAGTTATTATACAATATGGATACCCAATTACACAAGCATCTGTACAATTCCCCAGCTGTTCATTAAGAAAGCATGCCTAATTCATGTATTTACAGGGACATGTATTGTATTGACTGTCCTTTTAGCCATTTGACATTGCTTTCTAAGGAAAAGGTAAGAGGGACTTCTCTTAATGACAACAAAAACTACAAGCCTATTTCTAGGAAAGACCAGAAAGAATGAGTATATCAAATGGGGAGCAGTTATATTTTAAGCCAGCACTAAAACAAAACTTATACATAATCAAAACCACCCCTAAGTCCCTCTAACTGCCCACAAAATATAATATAGGCGGTTGGTATATTCTACCCTATTACACTTTGCTGAGCTCAGGAAAGTGTTTGCAGTTTACCATTTTCATCAAGTCACCTCCTTGGGACTAGTTACCACCAAGTGCCCCTAACTAGGCCCAGAGGTTCCTACTGCAAGTTCCGAGGGATCTTTGCAGAACTTAATAAGCACTGAGACAGGGTCCTAAGCAACTGCATGCGTGACCTTGAATGCCTACAGATATTTGCACATAAATATGCAAATGCACAAAGAGTGTCCTTCCTAAAACCGCCTCTGTGAAATATGATCCATTAGGAAATTATTTGCCGATGCCATTAAACTTTTCTCTCTACTTTATTTATTTGTTTGTTTATGCATTTTTATCTCTTTCAGATCGCTTACAAAGCCAAAGGAGAAGAAATTATTCACAAATACAACCTACCAGCAGACCTGCCTCAGTTCATCCAGGCTAAAGTTAATGCCTACAATATCAGTGAGGTGTGTGGGTAGACTCACGGGCTGACGTGTGTGTCCAGACTTTACTAACATGGTCTCTAAGTTGTACTTAAATGACATTTTTCTTTCAGAATATGTACAAAGCAGACTTGAAAGACTTGAGCAAGAAGGGATATGACCTGAGAACTGATGCGATTCCCATCAGAGCTGCCAAAGCTGCCAGGCAGGCAGCGAGTGACGTAAGTCCAGCTGTGGTTACACATAGGCAACTAGAAAATGTGAGTGGGTGGGCTTGGGGTCTGACAATGACCCAAAAGTCTCCATGCATGTGGTCCCCAATGGGAAGAAAATCTGATTGAAAACTATTCAGGAAATAAAGTTCCCTAAATAGATTTAAATTTTCTGGGGGGAAAGGATTTGTATAACCTTCTACTGCTCAGTTCTAATCAAGCCTCCTCACTTAAAATTCTCATCTGTATTTCTACACTCACTCACACGACTTCTCTTGTGGAGATTCAGAAGTGACTTACCATGTAAGTCATAATAGCCCCCTGATGGTAAAATTTTATCTCAAAACTTTATTAATTTATATGATTTCCTTCTTTCCCTTTCCTCTCCCTTTTTCCTTCATTACTTCTATAGACAGGCCTCAATTTCACCACCTCTAATAGCCAGTCTTTGGGTTCTATTACAGTTAAGAATTTTATTTCTTATCCTATTTATCTTTAACCAAGATGTGAACTGAAGTCACTTTGCTCTTTGAGATTTAAAGAAAATTGGCTCAAGCCCCCATCTGTTATTCTATAGGAAATGGAATTCCCCTCTCCATGATTTCTGTGGAGTCTCCGAGGTTTTCGTTTCTCTGCTTACCTCTGCCTCCTGGCTGGCTTGAGCTCATCTGCGCCCTCCTCCTGTGGGTCTCTTCTTGCTGCTCTGTATGACCCAGAAATGAAACACAGCCCCTTCCTTTTGACTTCCCAGAGTCCCAAACACCACTTTACTGATTGTTTGAAATTAGGTTTACATCGCTCCAGTGTAAATATGTGATGATTGAATAACAAATGTCCTTGTCCTGAAATGCCCCTGTCCCACCCAGAATTTCTTACTGACCCCCTTTCTCTGTGGGTGCTTTCCTCCCGCCACCCCTGCCCCAACATACCACAAACCTTCCCTCATGGCTCTGCTTCTCAGTGTCCCACAGTGCCCTCCACATGTCTCCGAGGAAGCTCAGTCCCCCCCTACTTTGTTATCCAGAGCCAGTTAGTGTTTACCCCCTCCTGGCTCTGGGTTTCCCTTTGAATATCCAAGGACTTATTACATTTACTGTTATTAATATTAATCATCCTACCACTACTAAAAATTCTAAAACTAATCAAATAGCTACTTGCACTCTAGTAGCACAATATAATTGGTAGAGATTGTAACCTATTTATCTTTTTATTTTCTCTACCAATGTCTAAATGCAAAGGAAGAATATAAAGATTTATTTTGTCACTGATACAAATTATGGTAATGCCCCCCATTTCAACCTTGCTTGGATAGGCAGAAACAGCTACAGACAATCAAATGGGTTCCCTAATACTTAACATTTTTATTTTAAGCAGACTACATTTCAGAGCATATACAAGTGAATTGTTGTTTGGTTATTGATGTACAGGAAGTTTTGGGAAGCTCAATTACTTCAAATTATGGCTTCATTGTTTAGTAAAACCCTCCAAACTACATTTTAAATTATGCTCACCTTTGTTTACAATAGGTTCAATACAAAAAAGACTATGAAAAAGCTAAAGGGAAAATGGTCGGCTTCCAAAGTCTTCAAGATGACCCTAAACTGGTTCATTATATGAACGTGGCCAAGATACAATCAGATCGGGAGTATAAAAAAGACTATGAGAAGACAAAGACCAAATACAACACGCCCCATGATATGTTCAATGTCGTGGCAGCTAAGAAAGCTCAGGATGTGGTCAGCAATGTCAACTATAAGCATTCTCTCCATCATTACACCTACTTGCCTGACGCCATGGACCTGGAGCTGTCTAAGAACATGATGCAGATACAGAGTGATGTAAGAGTCGTTTACTCCTCAAGAAACCCCCTGTTAAGTTCAGAGCCTGCCATGAAAAGCACCCTGGCCTAGGCCCTCACTCCTCTTTTCTCCATTGCTGTAGAACGTCTACAAGGAAGACTACAACAACTGGATGAAAGGCATTGGCTGGATTCCTATCGGTAGTCTCGACGTCGAAAAAGTTAAAAAGGCCGGTGACGCTCTGAATGAAAAGAAGTACAGGCAACATCCAGACACCCTCAAATTTACCAGCATTGTGGACTCCCCAGTTATGGTCCAGGCAAAGCAGAACACGAAGCAAGTCAGTGATGTGAGTACAACAAAATAGAGAGGACAGAGGATATGGAGCAAGATTTTTAGAAAAGTAAACAGCAGCCCAATATTTTTCTTTTTCTGGGCCAGTATCTTTCCATTTAAAATTTATTATTTTGTTTATTTAAATTGTTTAAAATTACAGTTATGTGTAGCTTGGGCACTAACATTTTCTTCTCTTGCCTTTTATCTTCCTTTTTAAAAAAAATTTCCTTTTTAACCATCTTTGAAATATTTTTTTATTGAATAAATGACAGTGAAAAAATTCTATTCTAGACTACACACATACACATGCACACACATACATACACGGAATTTAAGCTTAAATCCCAGACACTTTATTTTGGCAGATTTGTTGTATTCAATTACATATTAAGTTTCTCTTATTTTCTTTTCATATATAAAACATTAATACAGAGAAGTAATAGATATAAATATATGTTTTCGCTCCTAAGAATTCAGCATACACAATTATCACAGAGAGTTTTTAACTTACCTCTGATTGAGGCAAATATCGTTTGCCTGCCTGTTCATGAGCAGCGTCTATGCTCTGGCTAAAGTCAAAGTTTCTAAAGGAAAGTTTGGTATACAGAAGATCAAAAGCATTCACTTGTTTATTTAATGAATACTTTTTGAACATCTACCATGTACCAGGCATTGTATTACCTGCTTATGGCATAAAGATGAAATAGATGAGGATTCGTGGGATATAGAAATTCACAAGAATGTAGGGTAAGAGCGTAAGACAAAGACATGACTACAAACAGAGCATTGTCCTCAAGAGAGACAAATGCTGCAGGAGAGGAAAATGTTAAGTACAAGGGAGGTGCCTTGTACACAGGTAACTGCCTACCAGCGTTTCCTGGGCAAGTGAGAGAAGCGAGCATTGCTGGCAAAAGGAACAACATAACAGCAGTAGAAAAAGAACGAACAATATAACAGCAGTAGGAAAGGAATGAAAAAGTGTAAACGCAAAAGGTTCAGGATTGTAACCTGATTAGTAAGGGACTCATATGCTAATTTTTAGAGTCTGGATATTAGGGGGTAGGTAAGAAGAGATGTTGAATATGTCTAATCCATGGAGCCACATTATCAGGCCTGTGTTTTAAAAGACAATGCTGGCCCCAAGTGTGGAGACTTTGGAAAGAGGAGAGACTGGAGGTGAGAAGATGAATTAGAAGGCTGTCACCGAAATCCAAGGAAGGTTTAATTGGACTGAAGCTAAGAGAGTAGCAGTGGCAGAGAAGGAGCTGTGTAGAAGGTCGAATCCATGAATCTGATTGCTTAGATATTGTTCTTAAAGACAATGAGGACTTAGAGGTAACTTTGAGTCCTAGAAGAAATTATTTAGTATTTGGGGATTAATTTAGCTATTAGCCATGTCAGATTTTATCTTGGGTACATGCATACCAGTTTACATGTCATATTCCACATAGTCATGCCTGGGAAGTAAGGATATATATGATAAATGAGAATTATGAGATTGAAAATCTACTTGTGATTCTGGCTCTATTTTAGTTTTAGGAACTAAGTAATGTATTTCTAATACCAGGAGGAGGATGCAGTAAGATTTCTGCATGACATACTTCAACATCTTTCAGTCAAAAGTGTATATAATTCTTCAAAGTAACAACATAGAGCAAATATGAAATAGTGAGCATTTTGAGTATGCTAGATTCATGTGTAAGCACCTCTACATTATGAGGAATTTATTGTATGCTTTTATTGACACAATTATAATTTGGAAAGTTTTTAGCAGAAGTAAAAGATTTATTCTAACTACTGTTTTCTCTCTAGGGATAAAAAAACAGAAACTAACAAAAATGGAAGAGCTACTAACTCACAGGCAAAGAATAAATTGATTTGGCTTTGGTGAATTCTATTATTCTTGCTAGGGTTTCATGGTTGAATTTACCTTCCATTCATCTCGGGCAGTGAACAATTTCTATTTTCTTAAGGATTTTTTCTCTTTCTGTTTTAACGCACAAGACTTGTTGGTATTAAAGATAACAGATGCTTGTTTTATTTTAAAAAATAGAAAAATGCCTTTATTTTTAACACTAGAAAATTGTGGGTAATTGTGCTAAAAATTACTCTAAAGCAAGCAATTAATAGATTTTCCTTTTTGCACTATGTGAAATGCATTTTATTGCAGATCTTATACAAAGCTAAAGGAGAAGATGTGAAACATAAATACACCATGAGTCCTGATCTTCCTCAGTTTCTCCAGGCCAAGTGCAATGCTTACAATATAAGTGACGTAAGTAAGGTCTTTGCTGGGATGTGAAATTTGGACCTGACAATAAAATCATAGACTTTAGGATGGTGCCTTGACAATTTATTCAGGCCCATTTCTCACAAATACTCTATTGGAACATATCCCATAAGGATGATTCTTTACCTCTTCAGTTGGCCTTTTCAAGTGTAGGACAACTTTAAAAGACATAACATTCTTCTTTATGGGGGGCTCACCATCTATTCCTCTAAAACTTCTACTTAGTGTTCCTACTTTTGCATGTAGGGGAGGTGGTTATTCTCCAGAAACATAAGAATAAATGAGATCCTTTTTAAAAAAACAATCCTAAAATTTCTAAAGCTGACCACCAGGTCTTCTCTTGACCTTCCTTTCACGAGAATGAACAACTTCATTGTCTCTAGTTGGTCCTCACATATCATGGCTTCCAGAACTTTATTTATTTTTCTCTGGATCCAGTCTTTCAATATTGCTGTCTTCAATATGTGTCCAAACCAGATGTAGGTGAATAATTAGTGCAGAGTCCAATGATCTCATGCTACACACAGTGTGACACTTTGCCAGTGTGATGTCCTAAAGCAGTATGTGCTACGGGGAATTCCTTCAACTTCTGTCTGGAAAAGAACAAAACAATCCCAGCAGTTGAGGAATCACTTAAGCTGATGAATACACAGATGCTGACATCCTGTTTGGTTTTCTGTCCAGGTCTGTTATAAACGGGATTGGCACGACTTAATAGCCAAGGGCAACAATGTGCTGGGTGATGCTATTCCCATCACTGCAGCCAAGGCATCGAGAAACATTGCCAGTGATGTGAGTACAAATTTTAGTTGAAATTTAGGTGTTTGCCTTTTTAAAAAGTAATCAGGCTGGGCGTAGTGGCTCACGCCTGTAATCCCAGCACTTTGGGAGGCC